TACTCTCCATTTACGAATAAAGAAGATTACATTATAAAATTTTATTATTGTATATTACTGTACATATATCTTTCTTCTACAAAAAGGAAAAACAAGATCACATTAATTCATATTCTTTAATAACTAATGTTTAAGGTTTTTATTTTTAAAATAATGAATTCAATTACTTTAAACGCTAGTATTATAAAATGTAAAACCTATGTGTGTGTTTCTTATATATAATAGGTATATTTGTTATATATAATGTTAGTTATACATATATATATGTATATACTTATATATATATAAATATATATACTAGTAAACCTGGCGAACTCCGTTTCGCCTCCAGAAGGCTTTGTTTTATGTAACATTTCGTTTGGTGATTAAAAGATGAAGAATTTTTTTTTGTTTTATATGTATTTGAAAAAGAAAATTTTTATTTCGTTTCACAACAGTAATGAATTCATTTCGATTACAAAAATGAAGTGTTATTTAGTTGAACTTCTCTAAATAAATGAAAGTGAATCCAAAGTAGATACCGAATCGAAGCGTTATACGTGTCCGCAAGTTATCCGTTTCATTGAAATCCTCCTTTGTAAACCACGTTTTTTGTTTTTTGGCCTAACGTTAACACAAATATAGCGAATGGTTTCCCAACTCGTGAACACACAAACTATAACTGCCCATGTGAAAAACAATGATTTTCTAAATTTATCTCGCAAATACTAAATTACATATCTGTCATTATACGTCAATTGCATAGCTGTCAATTGTGTTTCGTTATCCCACGTTTTATAGTGACGTTTCATGTCAAGTCCCACAGAAATGCTGTTGAACGGGATATAAAGGATCCTATTGCATTTTCCCGGCTCTAAACTACCTCCCTGCCAATTTTCAGCTAAATCGGTTCAGCCGTTCTTGAGTTATAAGTGGGGTAACTAACACGACTTTCTTTTTTATAAAACACTGTGTGACTGATTGACAGACAACGACCAGCTGAAACTTTTCGTCGTAGAGAGCTGAAATTTGTCACGTGTATTTTTTTATTGTATGTGAGCTACCACTAAGAGAGGATTTTTGGAAATCCCCCTCTCGTCGGTCCTAAATTAATAATTTATTGCGTTATTTATATACATTAATTTAATTACTTTTACGTTCCATTTTTGATCTATTTATTTGTAAAACACTTTACAATGCAATTAACAGTAAACGTTGATTTCAACGCTATGCTAGGAGTGTATCGTGGACATCGATTCATTTTTAGCAGACAGAATAATGTAGTAAATGACAATCACAAAGAAAGTGGTGTATCTAGAAAAAAAAATGTTTTGGTATTCTGTTTAAAGTTGTCAACAATTTTAAACAAGTCTTATGATATTATGATATTACAACAATTAAAAATTCAATTATAAAAGAAAAAAAATAAAATAATCAACCATTCGGAGCTATGATTTATAAAGAAAAGGTACGAGTTGTCATAGTGTGTGTGTGTGTGTGTGTGTGTGTGTTTGTGTGTACACACTTTCACAAACACACACGTGTTTGTTTCTAAATTTACGTAACCAAATGAAACTTACCATTGCTATAATTTAGTTTTAGATTTGACTATTTTTATAAAGTATTCGGTATCTCCGTAAAACTAATTTATTAATAAATTTGTGATATTTGTTTTTAGTTCTCTATTTGATAGGTTCTTCAGATCGCAAACCTTTTTAATTTTGTTGTCAATATAAGGAGAGAGATTAGGAAAAAATGGTGCTGCAAACGCTGTTTTTACTACAATGCTTGGTGCCTTAACTCTAGGATTTGTTATATTTTAGTATACGGGGGAATTTAACACAATTTTGTGAATTTTAAATTAGAAGTCTAATTCTTTTGACGATGTTTTTCTTTAACATCTGTCTGTGGTGTCTAAATATTCATAATTGTAAACATACATTCGAAACAATCACTTTGGTACTTACCAGGTTTCGAATCCGCACCTTCATGCACTAGAATTACATAAGACCTTAACCTTGTATTTTTTTTTTGTTAACGCGGTGAAAAATTTTATACCTACCCTTCCGTCTAGGGGAGTCGGAGGCGGTTATGTGGGATTCACGGGCTAGAAGGGCCCATGCTACCCACGAAAACATCAGCGGTCACTCTCCCTCGCCACCTAGTGGATCGCCACGGGAATCACCGAAGCATACACCCGCGACGATCCGGCAGCAGGCCGCGAACGGCTACCTCTCCCCCGAGGGCTCACTCTAAGTGACCACGAGCGTCGCCCCGCCTGGCGGTCTTGCTTAATCGCGAGTTAACCACTTAACCCTCCCACCCAAGTCCACGCGGCCAGTCTCCAACCCCTACCAATGAGCCCAAGCGCCCGACGGTAGACAGAGCGGAAACAAACCATCAAGTGAACTCCGGTCCACAAGAGACCCGAGTTTCCCCTCCCCCCTCCTACCATCCGTGACCGTCTATCTCACAGGGCTGAACCCCCAGCCCGACCCAAGACCTCACAAGAAGGTCCCCCCCCCCCCCCCGTGACTGATTACACCGGAATACACAGATAGGCGAATGGGTCTTCGCGTTAACCTTAACCTCTACTTAACATTAACCTTAACCTCTACTAAACACGACGTATAACAACAGTTACTTAAAACAGAATAAAATTACTATTTAAGAGAGATACCATACAAAAATGAATTTTTGCATATATGATTTTTTGTTGTTGTAAATGTTATGTTATTTTATCACAGTTAAATACAAAAACAGATTATGATTATTAGAACAACAATGCATATGTAACTCAAATGCCACATCAAGCTACGCATCGTCTTATACAAGATATTACTGTCTGTCCTGATTTTGATGGCCCCTCGTAATGATAAGTGGGTATACATTACTCCAACTTGAATGCAGAACTCACTGTGATGATTTTTAAGGAGTTCCCTGGAATATTTTTGACATACGGTTTAGACTTGGACTTAATTTTTATAGATCTACACTGACATTTTGGATTTGTTTGTAATATTATTCGTGTTTTGTTAAGATCCATAAGGATTTTGGAATAGACTTAAAGATATCTTATCAGAAGACTAAAGACATCCAGTCCCTATAACCTAACTGTTAATAATATTTATAGTGAGATGTACAACAAATGCCTGCAAGGTGTCGAAAAGTTTTTATCATTAGGTGGCTGTTCACGTAAAGAAAATATATCCATATATATGGATTACTATAACCAACAATGAAATTCGATTAAGGAAACGTTATGACATTAAAAACGACTAATTAACATTAAGAGATTTTATCTATAGAATAAACAAAAGCATACGATACAATTATAAATAGTGTTAATACATACAAAGGGACAAGTTTTCTTTGTAGATCCGCCAGGTGGTAGGTGCAAAAACCTACCTAAATAAATTATAGTCTAAAAAGAATCGGCGCATAAGTAATGATAATAATGAAATCTTCTTAAAAACCAATTATGTTCAAATTTATAATTCAAAATAATATTTATAAATTTTTTCGTTTTTAAAGAAAAATAAATTTTTAACTTTCAATAACTGAGTTTTTTATCGAATTTGCTGTTACAATTACAAAAAATAGTATTAGCAAATAAAAAGTAGTTCTTACATATTCAGATTAATGATTAAATAACTTTTGAACAAAAAAAATAAGGAAAAGAATTTGTAGACAGTTTAATTATTATTCAAAACATTGCTAACTTTAACAAAATTGATACAGTTCATAGTTTTTAAGATGAATGATAAATAATGATTTAAGATACGAGTACATAGAAGCCGATGCAACGCATAAGTCAGAAAGAGGTGGCGATACTTATATTAAAGGTGAGCGACGCTTTGTTTAACAATAAATATGCACAATTATTATTTTTTAATTTCTATTAACAATATCACTAACAATTTTATAGAGAATAAAAATATATATTTGTATATTATTTTTTTTATATATTTTTCATGCCTCGAAAGTACCCAAGTTTCAGATTTTTCGAACCTTTACAATTCATATCTTAGAGAATATTTTCTTTATCGTGAAAAATCTTAGGACCTTTGTTATTGGTATTGCAATAAAGATAATGAAAAAAATGATTGTCCGGTTAAACAATAACAATTCCTTAGAATTGTTTAAATAATTTCTCTTTTAACAATATGGCACCATGTTTCCACATGGCAACATTTATTTATAAGACCAGTAGGGCAATTTGAAGAGAATAGCATAAAAAAATTGAGGTCGAATAATTTTCGGCACTCATGCGCAATGGGCGCAATGCTCCTGGACTATTTGTTTTAGTTAAAATTAAAGGCCCAAAACATATTGCACGAGCTGTCGCTTAGTCGGGAATCACACCGGCTACCATATTGTTCAACGGTAGTGGTCGACTAGTTTAACGACTCACTCAACGATTTTACTAAAAAATAAAAATCTACAGCAATTAACCTTTATTTGACAAGATCTTAGAAAAGTGTATTGAATGACCGCAGGATGGTTTCACCAAAACGATTTAACCGTATCTTTGTAAGTGAGTTTTCACTTTTATGAGCGCATCGTACGAATTTTTCATTAAAAAAATTCTTAATTCTGAAAAGTTATTGTTACAACAAGAATAAATGCCACAATATTTATAAATAAATAGTCAACAAAATCAAATATGTCTGAAACACTTTAATGGTTTATGATAAAAATCAATTCTTAATTTTAAAATTTTTTGTCAATCAGAAGTTATGGCCTAAGGAAGTTTGAGTACAAAGCGGCCGGTTACCTACATCATGATATAATTTACATATATTTTAAATTTCTTTGACGTGTTCCCTAAATGACTATTGAATGAGTTATTTTCATTATCGGAGTGAATGTTAAGAATTTTAATGCGAGTATAAAGTAAAAATATGTAATAAAAATCAATGCACAAACATTAGCGAAATTCCTTGTTTCTAAATATAAGGTGTTGCCAACGTAACTTTGCACATTCTAATATTGTATTTGTTAGTACTTGCCATTTTAATATGTTGCTTTCTATTTTTACATATTTCCTTGGTATAAACCTTGTCTTTGGTCTTTCTCATCGTTTTGATAATTTTGGTGATGGTGCGTTTCCAGCGTATTTTGACTGGAGAGATTATGGCGTGGTCTCTCCTGTTAAAGATCAAGGAGGTTGTAAGGCCTGTTGGGCCTTCAGTGCTGTGGGTAAATATAACAAGAAAAATATTTTAAGCTCTTTGACTTATATTATATTTGTATTACATAATTTCGTAATTATTAATTTTATTTTATTAGCTTGTATAGAAAGCCATTTAAGGATATACTTATCTAAAGAAGAAGTACTATCGGAGCAATTTCTTATTGATTGTGCTCCCGACCATGTCGGCTGTAATAGCACAAGCGTCTTAAAAGCTTTCGGGTAATAGTTTTGTTTACTATTCAAGTAGTAACTGTGTCTATTTTCTATCTTTAACGATTCAAATGTTTGTTACTTTTTCATTCTAAATATAAAGGACTATAGTAAATGATCTCGGAGGAGTATTGCGTGACTCAGATTATAATCCATACGACGCCAAAGAGGAAAAGTGTTCCTGGGATCCTCTTAAAAGGCCAATCCCCGTCGTTGGTTACAAAAGAGTCCTACCAGATGAAAGATTGATGGCATTGTATGTTGCGAATGTCGGACCTCTATCAGCTGGTCTGTCTTAATTAATTATATATGAAGTGGAAGTTTAGTTTAGAATTTTATTTCAGCATCAAAATACGTTTAGAAGTATACAATAACTTCATTTTCAGCTATAAATTCGGCGTCTATGGAACGATATACTGGTGGTATAGACGAACCTACAGATGAATCATGTTCGCCTCGACATACAAACCATGCTGTTCTCATTGTTGGCTTTAGTTATTACAGTACGTATAGTTAAAATATTGGGTATTGAAATAACAAAGAAACTAAAAGTATTATGATGAAACTAATATATTTAAAGTATTATGTTATTTTAGGGGATGTAGGAAGAAAAACCTTCATTTCGTATTGGATAATAAAGAATTCGTGGGGCAAATCCTGGGGTGATAATGGCTACTATTACCTCGTGCGTGGTCGCAACGCTTGTGGGATCGCAACTGATGTATCTTTTCCCTTTGTCAGGTGAAAGATGACCTTTAAAGTTGAATAACGAAAATAAATATATTTCTTGCAAAATTATTATAGTGTTTCATTAATCAAAAATCGAATTAATATCCAACCAGTATCGAATCATACTTACTCTCCATTTACGAATAAAGAAGATTATATGATAAAATTTTATTATTGTATATTACTGTATATCTCTCTTCTGCAAAAGGAAATCAAGGAAGAATCAATTTATTTTCTTTGATAACTAATGTTTAATGTTGTTATTTTTAATAAATATATATGTTACTCTTCAATTACTGAGTGACGGACTGACTGACAGACGACACACCTAAAACGACTTGTCCTAGAGAGCTGAAATTGGACATGTGTATTTTTTGCTGTAAGCGAGCTAGCACTAAGAGAGGATTTTTGGAAATCTCCCTCCTATCGGTCTGAGGAAACAGGAGTATATTGATATATTTTTTTTTAATGGATTCACCTTAAACTTTATATGTACATAGGTTAAACTATTAAAGCAAGTGAGCAATAAGAAATATTTTTTTATTTTATTTGTCACCTTGATGTATGTCATAAATCATGATATTTCCCGCCATAACAATACCATCGATGGTAGCCACTGCTAAGCAAAGGCTTCTCCTCACACGGAGAAAGTTAGAGCGTTAATCATGCTGGCCTAAGGCGGATTGGCGATGTCAAATTTATAATTTGAAATTATAAGTCATGTTCTGATCCCTATATTTACCTTTAAGACCTGACAGTGGTGTCTTAATACTTATAGAGTATACACATAACTCCGAAACACATTTTCATTTGCCAGGTTTTGAATCCGCACCCTATCGAACTAGAACTAGAGGGCCTGAAACTCCAGCCAACTCGACGTATATACTCGACGTACATATACTAACAAGACATGTAAAGCAGAGTGAAAATATGTAATTAAAATCTTACAAGCTTGATTACAAATAGTTTTTCTATGAATATTTCTATAAATTTTGCTCTTATGGAATTTATTTATAACTTATCCTTTGGAATGAATTACTTTTAGGATCTTTAACACCTTGGCATATCACGGGTTCGGAAGTCGACTGTAAGACAATCATCTTCAATGGTATTCTGACATTCTATAAAAGAATAATGAATAGAAAACAAGTTTATGAACTTCCTGAACACGTATTCCTATAATTTAATAAAAAATTGGTAACTTAAAGGTACAATGTTTTACTATCCTTTTACGTAAAAATTATGTGAAGTTTGCATTTTCTTTTAAATAAATGACTATGATAGTTAATATGAACAAAATATTTTTATTAATTGGATATTGTAAATGAATATTTGGTTAACTTTATTTAAATACGAGTGATATCATTGTTTTGCATTCGATAGCATGTTTTCGAATAATACTTATTTTTATTGCAGAGTTAAAATATGGCATCGCCGCGAACACGGCCATTACGTTTTATTCCGATCATATTGTTCGTCAGCATAGTACTCCACAAATTCATAGTGTCCAATGGACATATATCAGTATAAACAACGGAATTCGAAAAAGTTTTAAATTTAAACAAAACATACAATATGGAAGAAGTATTATTTATTACAACCATAAATATTTTTTATTATATTTTGTGTTTTTGAAACGTCGGAAGTTACGAGAGATTCCTCTGTGTTGATTTTTTTTTATTTTATTTCAGTTTGGTCAAACTCTGATTCTGTTTGATTCGAAAAATATAGTGTTAATATCGCTATTGAAATATAAAATACAAACAAGGCAGTTAATAAAACAATTTTTTATGCACTTTTAATAGAAATATATATTATCATTGGTTTAGGATAAATGATTTATGTTAAATGGTATTCAGAGTGAAAAGGTTGAATATTATAATGTATAAGTTGATATTAAATCGATATTGGATTTTAAGAAAACCTAACTTAATGATACATGATACATCATAGTTTATTATATAATAAATCATTCGTGCAATTTTGTCTATCGCACTTATATGTAGTATACAGTACACAGTGAAAAGCAAAACCTATAATTCCTGGTAACATTTTTCAGCACGTACGATATTTGGATCAATTCCGTCAGGTTTTTTACATGAAAGCTATATACTTTATTCAATGACAAAAAATAAACAATAGTATATAAATGTTTAAGCGTCGGACGTCCATCAACGAGATGGATGGACGACCTAGTCAAGGCCGTGGGTTCACGGTGGATGCAGGCCGCCTCCGACAGTAGTGCTTGGAAGTCGATGAGGGAGGCCTATGTCTAGCAGTGGGCCTCACATGGCTGAAGATAGATAGATATAAATGTTTTAGTATCGAAAATAGAATTATTCTGATTCTGATATTATGATGCAACTACCGACTAATGATGTCTACACTTTTACATAAAACCGTATTTATAGGATTTACTTCGCGATTTTAATATTCTGCATTTTATCCGACATGTCATTGCTGGAGGTCGATGTCAAAAACACGATTAACTGACAGATACTTTCATCTCATCTTCCCATGATCACTTACTGCAAAATAGTTAAGGTTTTTTCAAAATATAGACTAAAAAGTCAAATTAATATGAACATTAATTATGACAACAAAGCAAATGAAATATGTAAACTCAATTTTTGATTTTGTTACATAATTATACTCAATAAAAAGTAGTATCAATAAATTTAAGTAACTAAAAAAATTATAAAAGTAGATTTAATTTTTAGCTTCCGATTTGTGGAAGTTTGCTTTAATAATTTACTTATTATTAAGCTTATTTTATTTTCCCTAATTATATAATAAATGCATGAATTGTACATTTCTGATTTAAATCTGATTTTTTAATCACTCAGCTTACAAAATATCTTATTTTTAGTTTACAGTAATATTTACGACGGCTTAGAAATAAAAAATCATAGTAGCCGTTACGCCTAAAATTATTACTCTTTGTTTGAAATATAATAGGTTGTGCTTCACACTGTGTTTGTATGTAATGCGGTAACGGTAACTGTCTAATATTTTTGTTAATAAGCCTTATCAAAACATATACTGTCACACAATATATAATTAGACGTTTTAAACACATTTATCTTCTAGCCTATTTATTAGCAATAACAGAAAACATTTTCTGTTCAATCATTTAAAAACAGGCTTCTATATTCGAATATAAAAAAATCTCTTATCAACTTCCACCCAATATTCACAAGCATTGAGAGTTCATTTTAGAAAAACGTTTTTATTTATATTGCTTGACTTAATTGACGTTCAAATAACTCACACAAGCCTTTTTAGACATTTATGGGTAAAATATAATGCTTATTTCTAAGGGAACCTATAATAATAATAAAATAAAAATTATTGGCTTTGTGATTATTATTCATAAATTTTTTGTATGCTTCATTATCTCTATTAAATATTTATATTGATCAAATAAATAAACTATACAATATTCATACCTGTTGATATCGTAGGACAAAATGATAGAATTTTAATATTAGACTTACTTATCTTTAAATATTAATATGAACATTTACAACTTTGTTTAACTAATTCACAATCAGATGGCGTTGACGTCGCTTATCGGTATTTTGACTTTGTTAAGGTTACAATATTTTATAGAAAAGACGAGTTCAAAATCCAATTATTCACTAGATTAGAATACGTGGTGGTTTTATTTGTAATCTATCCTATTAGTTTACACATAATGAAAATACAGTAAAACATCGCTATATATCAATGTTATGAAAAACATTTTACATATTTAAAGACTGCTTGTACGACATTAAATAAAAAAACAAAATGTCTATTGTTCTTCATATTTGACACTATTTTACGCTAGTTCATATGTTAAATACTAAGACCTTTAAACGAAGGTATGAATGTAAATTTTTAACAACGTTTCTTTTATTTAAACAATCCTATATATCACGACATAGTATTTATTTCCCCTTTTCTCCCGATGACGCCGTCAAAGCCGCAAGTCTATCGTCAATACTCAACACAAAAAAAATATTGGTTTTATATGATGCAACCGTATATATACTCGTAAAAGAAGATTAGACTTTCAACAAATTTGATCCCAATATAATTTTAGACTATAATGGTCGGTAAAGTTTATTACACGTATAAGCCGCGTTCTTACCTTAAATGATGAATCAATAAGCCATTCATTTTATATATTTATAGATAAAATAAAATGTACAAAAATATATACCAATAATAAAAATCAAAAAAGCTTGTAAAACAGAAATAATTGTTGATTAATGTTTTTTTTGTTTAGCAAAAAGTAAGTAGATAAGAGTTTTCTTTTGTTTCATTTGCTATAATTATTATTATTAAGATAACGAATAAAAGTAAAAGGTATGGAATAATAACAAATGATTATGCTACATCTAATTGTCCAAAATAATTAAATCATTTTCATTAATTAATACATATACATAGAACAGATGTAAGAAAATGTTTTTCTGGCAATGGATCTTGGTGACTTTCAATTATCGTGTTTTTAAAACAATGTTTATTAGCGATAATAAATTGAAGTTGTAATAACAGGAAATATTCTAAACACAAACATAAGAGTATATATTTCGTTATTCGAAAATAAAATATATAAACTTAAAATTTACAATTAATAATGTTAGTGTATTAAAAATAATGAAAATAAAATTACCTAATATAATTATTATATTAGTGAAGTATGGACATATACGAAAAATTGTACGAATGATAAGGTATATGACTTTGTTACTCAATTATCTCGAAATTACATATCTACAGCTTCAAATTGCCTTCTTTTAGATCTAGATCCGATGAATATAAATAAGAGTTGACATGCTTAACATAGTTTTAAGAATAATAATAACTCCTCAGTTTTAATTTACCTTTTTAACAAAGTTTTCTATTTACGATTGTTAATTTTGAGGACTTTATTAAAATTTTCGATATTCGAAAATCCTTTGAATGATATTACGTTAATTATTAAAATAAAGTGTTTTACTATTTGAAAGTTATAAATCTCCTGCA